CCCCCCCCCCCCCGGCCCCGAGCCGGGACGGCGGGAGGGGGCCTGGGGGCTCTGCAGCCACCCCGAAAGGCAGGACAGGCCGTCTCCAAAGAGGGACATGGTTTTTAATCCTGCGACGTGCAGTTTCTGGAAGGCTTTTCTCCTCCACCAGACCTGGGGGGAGGAGGATCCCTGCATGCTCCGAGATGGGGCCCCACCGGGTCAGCTGGGTCCCGGTGGATCTGGCACATCCCATGGCCAAAATCCACCGAGGGGTGCCCGACACTGCTGCCCAGCCCTGGGAACACCCCAGGTCAAAGCAGACTGTGCTCGGGTCCCTGATTTACCAAGCAATGCCAATGCTTCACAGCAGATTTTATTGCTTTTGGAGAAGCAGCTCCTTCCAAACAAGCCTCTATAGGTGCAGAAATAATTGCATGCAACACAAGCCGCTGCTGGAGGAGAGCGTGTCGGCGGCGTGCCTGCTCCCTGCAATGCCCCGTAACGATCACAAAAAGAAAGCCGTAAAAGCTTGGTTTCGGGCTAGAGTTCACAGGGAGCAGAGAAATGGTGGCGGGTGACTGCCCCCAAGGCCGGGCTCCTCGCTTCCGCGTCGCATGAGAATTTGCCCTGGGAAGACTTGGGGTTTCTAGCCTGGGGGCACGCTGAGAGCAGCAGCAGGGAGAGGGAAAAGCCCTTCTGCCTCGAGCAGGTGGGTTCATCAGGGTTAAAGAAAGGCAAATAAAGTAAGAGACTATTTTCTCTTGCCATAGCTCAACAGCCAGCTCTGGTCACGCCGGCCGGCGAACCCGCGTGCCGCCGCACGGCCTTGGAGGCCCGGCTGGCCCCGCTGGGGGGAGGGGCCGGGCCAGCGAGACCCCACGCTGGGCACAGCCTTCCTGGGGGACGGGGAGCGCAGGCAAGACACCCATTTCAACTTCGTGGGGGGGGTGTACGACCGCAACGAGAACTGGAGCCAGCCAGCGCCGGGGACCAGAACGGACGAAGGCTCCAGCCAGAGCGAAAACATGACAAATCCATCGGATAATCTGCTGTTATTAATGCAGAGACAGATGGTTCAGGGCAGGCTTAGGGATGCCGCCCAGAGCCTGAAAGGAGACCAAGTGTGTCTGGGCGCGGGTGTGCGGAGCCCCCCCGAGGGAGCGGAGGTCGGCGGGCCGGGGGACGAGAAAGCGGCCACGGAGGACACAGCCAAGGAGTGCAGGAAGCCCCTGAGCTCCCCCGCGGAGGACAACGGCCACGCCACACG